GCCACCGAGGCTGGATTTTGTGTATGAAGCCCATTGGATGTACTTTGGGTGGAAGGCCTCCGGGGGGCCTGTTGGAGGCAGTTTTGAGGCCTCTTGGGGGCCGTTTTGGGACATCTTGGGCCATCATATTTTGGGCCTCTCGGGGGCTTCTTGGGGCCTCTCGGGGGCCTCTTGGATCCTCCTGGGCGCCTCTTGGGGCCTCCTAAGGGCGTTTTTGGACGGAAGGCTCGGATTTTCGGTTCGTGTTTGGGGCCGTCTTGGGGCCCTCTCAGGCCGTCTTGGGCGCCTCCTGGGCCGTCTTGTGGCGCTCTTAAGCCGCCTTGGGGCCCTCCTGGAGGCCTCTTGGGCCGTTCTGGGGTGGCCTTGGGGACCTCGTTGGCCGTCTTGGAGCGTCGGGTTGCCGAAAAGACGAGAACGGCAAAGTCCTTTCAAAAACCTTAGGCGGCTCAATGATCTTGTACCTCTTGGGGCCCTCTTGGGAGGCCTCTCGGCGGCCTCTTGGGGCGTCTTGGAGGCCTCTTGGGCCATCCGGCGGCCATTTTGGGCGTCTTCGAGCGCTCGTTCGGCGACGCGGGCCCTCTTGGACCGTTTTGGGGGCCTCCCGTGCCGTCATCGAAGCCTTGGAGTTCCCCCAAAAAAAACATGGCATGGCCGCAAGGTGACCCCCAGTAATTGGGGCGATGCAGTCGGGTGGGTGTGACCAGGGGGGCGGAGGGATCCTATAGAAGACTGCGGGAACCCTGCCAGGCAGCCCTTGGCAGTCTTCCACGCCTCACCGTGCCGCAGGCACGGACTAGTGTGTACTGATGATGATGATGATGACGATGAAGATGATGATGATGATGATGATGATGATGATGATGATGATGATGATGATGATGATGATGGTGATGATGATGATGATGAACATGATGAACATGATGAACATGATGAACATGATGAACATGATGATGACGATGATGACGATGATGAGGAGGAGGAGGATGATGTTGATATTGGCAATGATTTTGATGTTGATGATGGTGACGGCGATGGTGGTGATGATGATGATGGTGATGGTGATGGCGATAGTGGTGATGGTGATGGTGGCGATGCTGATTATGAGAATGATCATGGTGATAATGGTGACTGCGACGATGACGATGATGGTGATGATGGTGATGATGATACTGAAACTGATAATGATGATGATGGTGATGATAATGATGATGATGATGATGATGATGATGATGATGATGATGATGATGATGATGATGATGATGATGGTGGTGGTGGTGGTGGTGATGATGGCGATCATGATTATGGTCTTTCTATTGAAGTTGAATGCCTTTAGAGAGGGGAAGAGAGGCCGAAACTTGCTTTCCGTAGCCTTCGGCTCTCGAGCCTCCTGGAGGGCTTGCTCAGAAAGGTGGATCGCTGGGGCGCTCCCGCGCTGCAGGCCTGGGTGTCTCGGCGCCCCGCCGTCGACGTGCCGCCGTGCCCTGCGTGCCCAGCCTGTCCGCCGTGCCCTGGGGCTACCGTGGGCGCGACCGCGGGCGCGGTCTCGCTGGTTTGCCTGGCGGCGGGCGGCGCCGGGGCGGCCCTCGGCGCGCTGGCCGCTGTGGGGGTGCTGCGGATCTGGTGCCCGCTGCGGTTCTCGGCGGAGGCTCGGGGCTCGGAGGCGGCCGCAGGTGAGCGACTGGCAGAGGCCCCAAGCAGGTCGCACTCGCGTCGTGCGATCTCGGCGGGTGGCGACGGCGGAAGCGTGGGCACGGGTGCTGCACAGCGTGGGCGGCGCGCCGCTCTTCCGCCAGAGGAGGGTGGTGGGCGAATTGGCACTCACGGATGACGTCCTCATCGTGACGCCCGACAGCATGGTCTACGCCGAGCGGCTCCTGGCGGCGGGGCCCGACGTGGCGGGGGTGCGGTTCTCGGCGGCGCGCTGGCCGCGTCCGCCTGGGATCGCGCCCGAGGCCACGTACAGGTTTGGGCGTGCCCCGTCGGCCGCCGGCGAGGCCGCGCGGCTCGCCGCCGCCACGGCCGAGGCAGACGCCGAGTTCGCCCGCCGCCATCCTGGGGTTCCCGTCCCGCCTGGCGGCACGCCCATCCCCATGACCGGCGGGCTGCTGCCCGGCGATGGACCCCCAGCCGCGGCTGGCGGGGCACTGGTGGGGGCTGCCGCTGCCTCTGGGGGGGCTGGCGCTGCGCTGGGCGCCGCGGGAGCCGTGGCTCCGAGTTGCGGGGCCAGCGTCCCCTGTCGGGTTCCCGCCCGCCGCGCTGGCGGCACCCGCGGCTGGCGTGCCGATGGCAGCAGGGGCCCCGCTCGCCATCGGAGCGCCTCCTGGTCCCGGGTGGACGGAGGACGGCGGCCCGCCGCTGGGGGCGAACGGCGAGGCGCCGCCTGGTTGGGCCTGGGCGCTTGCGGAGGACGTCGACGCGCAGCTCTTCGGCTCGGTCATGCAGGCGGGGCCGATCACGGGCATCGTGCTGGCGGCGCGGGTTGGGCTGCGGGCTGTCGTCACGCTGGCGGGAGGCGCCTCGGCCGCGGCCTTCATCTTAGACGACTGGCGCGGGGCCGACTTCACGGCAAAGTGGCGCGGGTCCGACGCTCGGACTCTAGCGCTCGCCCCTGGCAGTGGTGGTCCTCGCAGCTGGCTCTCAGTGACCGAGACCGCGAAGGAGGTGCCCGACCCAGAATTCGTGCTCGTGCCGAGGTCGGCTGCCCGGCGCGTCTCCTGGCTGCAGCGCAAGGGGGGGCCAGCCCAGCGCCGCGAGAGTTGGAAGGCGAGGAAGCGGCTCAGTGCTTCAGACTACGGGGCGCCCGAACATCACACCCTCAGCACGGTGCTCGAGGATCTGGCGACCATTGAAGAGGTCAATGTGGCGAACCTCCTCGGTGTAGAACGGCTGGTGAGGAAGATGCAGCTCATCGAGCATTTCTGGCAAGAGAAGCAGGGGGGGCAGGACACGGCCCAGCAGCGGTTTCCGCAGGAGGAGATCAGCGCATTCATGCGCGGCAAGGGCGCCTCCCGCCGCCCGAGCTGCATGGCCTGCCCCGCCCTGCTGGACCAAGTCGGGAAGGAGTTGGAGCGTGCCAGCCAGCTCAAGAAGAACACCCGCAAGCTGCGGGGAGAAACGAAGGCTGCCCCCCGGGCCAAGGCCCGAGGCGGGAAGTCATGATGTCATCATTATGCCCAGGGGGGGGCCGCTTGGCCTAGCCCCCTGGGCGCCACGGCAACTGGCCCTTCCTCGACGGCAGCCTGCGAGGTCGAGGATGCGCTTGGCAGGCGCCGCGGCGCGGGTGCAGAGCGGCCGCGGGATCTCTCCCCAGCGCCCGCGCCCGCGGCGGGCGGCCTCTGCGTCGCGGCTCGCCACGCAGGCGGCGGAGTCGCTCAGCGGCCTCAGCGGCGCCGCAGGGGCGGGCGGCTCTGGACTGCAGGATGGCGCGACCGTTGCCCTGCAGCGCTGCCTGACGCGGGCGGCCAAGCCCGTCGCCCAGCTGGGCCCCCCGCCGGGCGACCTTCATCCTTTGGCAGCTCTGCAAGAGCTCCTGGCCGCTCTCTCTTACGACGGCTCGCTGTCGACCAAGACGGAGACGATGGGCGGCTCCCGCTGCCACCTTCAGGTCATCGCCCCGCGGCGCTGGAGCGGCCGCTGGAGTCCGAGGTTCCTTAGATTCCGTCCACCGTGATATTTCAGGCAAGGTCTTGCCAAATACCTAAGAAGTTTTGCAGCAGAAGGTGGACGTTGGCTTCGAGAAGCCCTGCGTGGATCCGATTCTTCGCGACCGACGTCGGCACGCAGCCTGGGCCCTGCGTCTGCTCGACGCGGGAGCCATCGATCGCGCCAGCGACCCATGCGAGGTGGTGGGCGAGGCGGGCCTCTTCAGCGCGCCCAAGAAGGGCGGGCGCCGGCGACTCGCCGTCGACGCCCGGTCCGCCAACTTCTGTTTCGGCACGCCCGCTTACGCGCACCTGGCCACGGGCTCGGCGCTGGCGGCGGCGGGGCCGCCCGACGGCGCCGACCTGTGGCGTCGCCTCGACGGACATCGCGGGCGCGTTCTACAACGCGGAGCTGCCGCTCGCTTGGCGCCCATACTTCTCGCCCCCGCCGGTAGACGCGCGGCGACTGGGACGCGGCGCCGACCACGGGCAGCGGCAGTCTCGGCTGGTCTGGCCGCGACTCGCGGTGCTGCCCATGGGTTGGACCCACGCGCTGGCCGTCTGTCAGCGGGCGTCGGAGTCGGCGGCCGATCGTGCCGGGCCGTTGCCGTCGGCGAGGATCGTGGACCGCTAGACCTGTCCAGGCTTGGCGGCGGGGGCGCGCCTCGAGTGCGTCGACAACTCCGACACGCTCTCCCTGGACCGCAACACCACCGATTTGATGAAGGCCGACATGGTCGCCGAGCTGCGCGAGAGCGGTCTCGCCGTCCACGAGGACGGGGGCGCCGCCCACCGAGCGCAGCTGCTGGGCGGGGTGATCGACGGCGCGAGGGGCGCTGTCTCGCCGACGACGCGGAGAGCCTGGCGCCTGACTTGGAAAACCGCCTTGTTTAGCAACCACTTCGGGGGGATGTATTCTACTTGCATGTCATTTGCAAACGACTTACAAGCCTGTGATATAACTTGTAAGTGGCGGATCTCCCCTTTGACGGAACTGAAGTTGTTCGGTCGGTTATGCAAATGAGTGATCCACAGAAGTCAGTTCGGCGTGAGGTTATCGTATCCTGTGAAGTAGGATCGCCCGTTTACCATAAGCACCTTATAACTAGGTTCTGCCACCTTGATTGAGCGAGAGCAGGGGAAGGAGAAGGAGGAGGAGGAGGAAAATATAGAAGTGGAAGGGAAGGAGGACGAGAGGAGGACAACGAGGAGAGGGGAAGATGAGTGCTTTCTTTTTGAAGCACGTATCGGTCTCATGGTCCTGCAGGATCCGCTTCATGAGGTTCGCTGTCGTTCTGGTTCTAGCTTGCTTCAGGGACCGCACTTACAGCTTTTTTTCTAGAGGTTCGGTCCTTCGAGATGCCGCTGGGTGCCATGATGGAGGCGCGACTGAAGGGCGTCGCGTCGCAGATCCTGCAACTGCCTGCCCCCATGAGCAACCCCGATGTGACCGAGAAGCAGGAGATGGCAACATCCCAGCAGATCAAGCAGCCGTTGTTGGAGAGCGACTTCGCCGACCAGGTGACTGACGACAAGGAGGCGCTCGCGCCCCACCCCGACAACAGAGACGGGGTGGGGCTCGAAGCGATCGACGCGCACGAGCTGTTGGAGGCGATCACGAACAAAGGTTGGTGCGACGATGCTGCTGCAGGGGCCGCGGCCTTCGAGATCAGCGAGGGCCCCAAGAAGAGGGCCGCGCAACTGGCATTCCAGGTGCGGGCGGGCCTTGGGACCCCCACGGGATCTGGGATACCAGGGCGGGCGCTGTCCAGGTGCCCTGTGTGTCCTGGGCCCCGTGGGTTCGTCTCAAGCCCCTCCTTTAGGCGGATCTCGCATCGTGCTCGGATGGGATGCTCGCCCCGATCGAGCCCCACAAGGCGAAGTACTTGACAGCCAGCGGCTTGCGCACGCTCGTTGGGAGCAGATGCGCGCATCACAAGTGCAAGAGCCCAATCGCGTCCTTGTGCGCTGAAGACGGCAGACTTTCGCGCGAGAAGGCGTTGGCCCATTGTCAGTTGAGCGGAAGATCGGGACAAATCGGAACCAGAGATTCTGGGAGAGTTCCAGAGAAAAAAAGAACGCCGATTTGTGGAGCGTAGCGCGCGCATTCGCAGAAGTTCCCAAAGAGTGTTCGAGGGCTTGAGGAGCCCAAGTAACACATGGGCGCCCAATTAAACTGTTGAGGGCGGGCAGAACATCTGGTGTGCACGAGCATTGTGAGCGGGTGCGCGGCTTGCACGGGGGGCGCAGTAGGTTTGCGTTTCAGGGACCTGGGCGCTGGCCAATGCGCTGATGGGGGGCCCGAGAATGCGTCGCACATATTACGCCTGTGGCGCCATGGAGGCCGCATTTGCGGTTGCAGTTGGGCGGGCGCCCCGCCGCGCGCACCGTGGCGACAGCTCTCTTGGGCGCCCGTCCGCCGCCGTGGACGTAGTGGACCCAGCTAGTCTCTCGGTCGGCGCGCGGCGGGTCGGCAGCCGCGACGCTGGCGGCCTGAAAATGCTTCGAAAGTGTTTCTCCCCGAGCCCAGGGCGATTGTACGTTTTCGGTGGCACGCGCAGCTCGGAGAAAAATCGCCTTGTCCGTCGGCGGCCAGTTGGCTGTCGTCGCGCGGAAGTACCGGCGGATGGCGCGGTCCACGCTCAGCGCAGAGAGCGCGTCCATGAGCGTGGACTCGTCGAGGGGCAGGAGGAAGGACCTCGCGATCGGGGCCATCGCGGCCCGCGATGTCCACGGCCCCCACCCTGGGCGCGCGAGGACCTGCTGGGCGCCGCCGCAGCGCGATTTCAGAGGATCTCGGAACCAGAAATCCGGGCGTGCCAAATTTTGCGGGCCGAAGAACTTTCAGAGAGTTTCGGCCAGCTCCGAGGTTTTGGGTTTATGGGAATGTTTCACGCGGGGTGGCTAGTTCAGAGATTTTCAGAGATTCTCAGAGAAGTTCGGACGCGAGAATTTGGCGCGCCCCGGTTTCTGGTCCTGTGAATCTCTGAAAACCGGTTCCTTAGGTTTTACTGGGTCTCCAGGCGTCCTACTGTCAGCCAGAGACGCGCGACTGGCTGGCGCCGCGCCCGATGCTTCCGGAGCTGCGATCTCGGTCTTCGATTCCCTGGGGCCCGCGGGCCCCTGGGCCAATTGCGAGGTTGCCGAGGCCCCCAGGCGGTTGCGCGCGATTGTCTCGGAAACGGGAGTTGGGCATCCATGGTGGACGCCCGCGCGCACGCGCTAGGTGTCCGCGAGATTGTTCGGTGGCGGATCTTGCATGGCGCGGGGATTTTCCAAAGACTTTCCGGGGCGTTCTCTACGGTTATTTCGGTGCGCTTCGGGAACCTTGGGGCGGCGCGGGGAAGTCGCCTGGCCGCGCGCGTGACTTTTTTCCAATGCCTTCTTGGGCATTATCGCGGTGTTGCTTGGCCGAAGAGGTCACTCAGCAACGCGATGTTTGACATTTTCGTGTTTTCTCGTTGCGTTGGTTGCGCGATTGTTTTGGCGGTCCGCCTCCTTGGGGCCCCCTTTGGGCCTCAAGTTTGTTTTGTTGACGTCGGGCCTTCTGGAGTGAAAGGCGCTTGGCGCTGAATTCCCTCGGTCGTGCGCGTGGCCAAATACGCGCCGTGGCTTCATCCGCGCCGGGGCGCTTGTCTTCCCTCGCGAAGCCGATGGCGCCCAAGGCGCGGCAGGCCCGTTCGGCGGCGCCCCCGGTGATTTGAAAAACCGAACATGATTTTTATCCCGGTCAAATTTTGCCCCGATCCCGGCTTCATCTTACATTGTCCTTCGCACAGCGTTCCGCTCACCAGAGGCATCCGCTTCACCATCATCAGGAAGGAGATCGAGGAGGCCGCGCCACAGTTGCCAGATTTCCTGCAGGGCGCCGGCAACTCCAAGCGCGGAACGGAGAGACCGCAGACGCAGATCCAGCTGCTCCGCAAGATGCATCAGATGGCCATGAAAAAACCAGTCGAACTACAACGATTGCCGCTGGGACTGCATCGCCAAGGAGGTGAACCGCATCCCGTCGGCCAAGGGCTGCGCGCAGGACATGTGCGCTTACGTTCGCCAGTGGGGCGGTGGCACCTCGGCGGGCCTCCTCGCTGACTTGAAGGAGTTTTCGGCGACGCTTCGGGTGCGCCGCGAGGTCAAGGGGCCCACCTGGCGGGCTTCGGCGACCGTGGAGTTCGCGCAGGGAGCGGGGCACATCGCATCGTGCGTGAAAGCGCTGCTGACTTCGCCCGACCAGTACGCCCGCGACGGTGAATCGACCCTCTTGGCGACGGCGGACATCCAGACCATCGCTGCGAAGCACAAGTTGAATTGCATCGAGGCCGCCTGCATGTCACGCGCGGCGTCGGTCTACTTGAAGCAGCTCCCTGACATCCCGAAGAGTGTGGCTTTGAAACTGCGCGCAGACATGGACATTCGATCCGTCTTCTGCGTCCACAACAAGAAGTGCCGCACCAGGGAATCCTTCGGCAGCCTGAAGGCCATCCAGAGTGCGTTCATGAAGGAGCTCCACACGCAGTGCCCAACCGCCAAAGAGGCTCAGGCTCAGGCGCCGTTCGCCATCACGGACGACGGCGAGAACCTGCTGACGCCACAGGGCCAGGCGAGTTTTCGGGCGGTCGCATCACCGTGGAGGGCGCCAGGGCGATGGGCTACGCGATTGGGTGCCTGCTGAAGCCGCGGGCCGACCCGTCCGAGAAGGCGATGGCGCTGGCGGCGTTCACGGGCGAGAACGCGGTGATCAGGGCAGTATGCGAGGGCGACAAGGAGGGGGCCGAGGACACCGAGCGCGCGGCCCCAGAGACCGCGACGACCCCCCTCTCCCAGGCCCTGGACGAGTACAAGGCTAGCTCTTCTCTTTCCCCCCGCTAGAGGATGGGCGGCAACTAGGGGGAAGTGAAGGGATGAGGAGAGGGGGCGGTTGAGGGCGAAGGATAGCATGGGCATGAGGGGGGAGAAGTAAGATGAGGAATGCAAGGAGGACGAGGATTAAGAGGGGGATGAGGCTGAGAAGGATGAGGAGGAGGAAGGCACATGAGGAGGGATAAGGCTGATCGCGCATGGCTCCGAAGGGGCCATGTAAACAAACTGAGGCGGGCGGACGAGAAGGAGGAGGAGGGATGCGGGGAGGGGGGCGAGGGGGGGGGGGGGAGGGAGGATGAGGAGGACGAAGATGATGAGGAGTTCCGAATCCAGTGCATCTGACAATGCAGGCCTCACGCGCCCCTGCAGTGGCCTGACGCGCCGCTACCAGATGGAAGAGACACATCACCTAGCACAGGGCATGGGGGTGAAGACGAATGAGGACGGGGAGGGGCATGAGGGCGATGGGGGAGAATGGGGGAGGAGGAGGAGGAGGAGGAGGAGGAGGAGGAGGAGGAGGAGGAGGAGGAGG